GTTTAGGGCTTTATATGTCAAAACAAGCACTTGTCTACCCTTCCCATTTACAATATTGCCCTCAAATTCTGAATTGGCAGCTTTCACTTCAGAAACAATCGTAGATGATTATTGTTAAGCAGCAAATTGTTTATTTGATTTTTAAAATTGAAAGGTTTGTACTAGCCTCTAGCCAGAAGGCTACTGTTCATGTACAATAGATGAGTGTCTTGGGAAACTCCAAATATTTATTTTAAGAACATCTTAAATAAAAGTGGCACCACCCCCAAATCAAGTCTAAGCAGCTTTCGCTTCAGAAACAATCATAGATGGTCATTGTTAAGCAGTAAACTGTTTATTTGATTTTTAAAATTCAAAGGTTTGTACTAGCCTCCAGCCAAAAGGTTACTGTTCATGCACAACAGATGAGTGTCTAAGGAAACACCAAATACTTATTTTAAGAACATCTTAAATAAAAGTGGCACCGCCCCAAAATCAAGTCTAAAAAGAAAGGTTTGAGCCAGGGCCTACCAACAGTCCACCTATTTTCTTAAAATTGCCTAGACTAAACAGTCAAAAGGCAGATACTAATGAGAAGCCAGCTTTACAGTTAGAAGCAGAGATATCATAAAAGTTAAACAATATCTGGTTCTCCTACCACAGGATTTTGGGCTGACTAAATTGGAAATTAGGATCCTTCTGTGAGCATAAGGAAAGTTTGGCTCAATTTGCTAGTTGGTTACATAGAGATGAGGGAACGTGATGCCGCTGTGGGCTAAACTGCAGAAGCCTGTGCTGCAGGGTCAGAAGACCAAGCAGTCGTAAGATCGAATCCACGCGACGGAGTGAGCGCCCATCGCTCGTCCCAGCTCCCACCAACCTAGCGGTTCAAAAGCATGCAAATCATTTGCTAGTTGTTTACATAGACATGGAAGCTTTTCTCTCCATAATAAACACGTGGAGGACTAACCACATCTTTTCCATTTATATGTAGCAGCAGTAGAACCACCTAAAGGTTAGTGCTCAGGGCTTCTAGTTATAGGAAGAAACAAAAAGAAGACTGTGTTTATGATGGAAGCTTTACTCTCCATAATAAACACGTGGAGGTCTAACCACATCTTTTTCATTTATATGTAGCAGCAGTAGAACCACCTAAAGGTTAGTGCTCAGGGCTTCTAGTTATAGGAAGAAACAAAAAGAAGACTGTGTTTATTTGACAGATCCTTTCATTCCTCTCTTACTGGTATTTTCCGATTTTATTTTCTGCCTCCACTGCAGAGTCGCCTGCAGAACCTAAGATAAGAACCGACCCTTTGGAAATGCATGAAGGGAGGCTAGCTAAAGTGATCTGTTCGGCGCTTTACCATTGCCCTGGTGAAAACATGACCTTGACTCTCACTGGCTTAGAGAAGGATCGTTTGCTTTCACAACAAACATTCTCCAGAACACTGACTGGTATTTTCTGATTTTATTTTCTGCCTCCACTGCAGAGTCGCCTGCAGAACCTAAGATAAGAACCGACCCTTTGGAAATGCATGAAGGGAGGCTAGCTAAAGTGATCTGTTCGGCGCTTTACCATTGCCCTGGTGAAAACATGACCTTGACTCTCACTGGCTTAGAGAAGGATCGTTTGCTTTCACAACAAACAGCTATTGAAAGCGGGACGGTCCGGACAGTGCTGAGTTTCAGACCTACCTTGGAGGACCACGGGAAAGTGCTGAGATGCTTGTACAAGAGCCAGGCTGGGTCACAAAGATCTCAGGGTACCATGAAGTTGGATGTGAAATGTAAGTGCACAGTGGGGGAGGATCTTGGCCAGGGGTGGGCGGGCAACCTGCATCTCTCCAGATGTCGCTTATGCAGCATCTTTCCCCCTGCAGTTGCCCCCAGGGAAGTAAGAGCTGTGCAAGATCCAGAAGAAGTCATCAAAGTGGGCTCACCTCTTCGGCTGGAATGTAAAGTAGGAAAGGCAAACCCCCAGGACCTCAGCTATACTTGGTACAAAAATGGGCAACAGCTGCCATGGGACTCTGCATCATCATCTGCCTTGCTGACCCTACAGAGAGTGGGATTCACTGACACTGGCCTTTACCACTGTGAAGCCAGCAACAGTGTTGGGACCTC